GCTGGCTCATCTGCATCCCTGCCGGCGCTCGTAGCACCCTCGGAACAACGGGGCGGTGCTGCACCCCGGCTGAGCTGGGCTTCCCGCAGCCTGGGAAGGTGGGAATGGTCGCGGGGTACCACTGGGCACGTCCTGGCTGCGCGGGATGCAGAATGAGGCCTTCCTGCCTGGGGTAGCTTGTGCGAGACCCGGTGTCATGAGATCGGTGTGCCATGATGGCATATGAAGAGTGTTTTTCCTAGCCCACAGGTCAGTCCTGCGGGCTGGTAGCCTTGCCGCAGGGGTGTTTGGGTGTAGCTGTGCTCAAGACTGTTGAAGACCGAGAGGGGAATCTGGGTCACGGCCCGGCTGGGGTGTCAGTGAGGGGAAAGAAGTAGCAGAGACACGTGGGCTGTGTAGCATCCTCTCACGTGGCTCAGCAGAGGTGACGGGGCGGAGGGGAGCCATCCGGACATGTCTGGAGAAGCAGGTGGGATTTCCAGAATGGGCACAGCCCAGTGTCACCATGTCCTCAGGCTACTCTCATGAGGGGACCACTCTTTTCTTGTGGCCTCTTGGCATGCGCATCCCCTAAGGGCATGGTCAAGGAGATGGGAGCACAGCACAGGACACTTCAACCTTGGCAGGGAACCAGCCTTGAGTTGGTTTTAGAGGCCGCAGCTCCTTTGGGGTGACAGAGAGCCGGAGCTGGTGTGAGCAAAAGGAGGGCCGTGCTGGGAGTGCAGGGACATCCCAGGGACTCTTGTCCTGCACTGTATGTGTCCCTGCTGTCTGTGACTCCCTGTTCTTCCCTTGTGCTGCTGGCAGGCCTACGAGCTTTCCACGCTGACCGGCACTCAAGTCCTGCTGCTGGTGGCCAGTGAGACGGGCCACGTGTACACGTTTGCCACACGGAAGCTGCAGCCCATGATCACCAGTGAGACGGGGAAGGCGTTGATCCAAACGTGCCTCAACTCCCCAGACTCGCCCCCGCGCTCGGACCCAACCACTGACCAGCGCATGAGCGCCACGGGCTTTGAGGAGACGGACCTCACCTACCAGGTGTCCGAGTCGGACAGCAGTGGGGAGACCAAGGTAATGTTCCTGTGCTCAGCTGCACGCCTGGAAACCCTGCGGGGCATGGGCTGTGCCCCTGGGACTGTGCTGGGGGCCCTGATCATCCCCAGCCCTCCTTGAATAGCAGCTTGGGAAGCTGAGGACAGGTCCTCTTTTGCTGTGACTCCAGAGAGCTTGTGCCGTGGCCTCTTGGGGCTGGCTGCTTTGCTTGGCTGGCGGCAACAGTGATTTGGAGAGGGAGGGAAGTGGGTGGCAGGTGTCCTGGCCCTGGCCTTTGCAGCGGGGCTCCCCACTGGCCCAGCCCAGCCCCCTGGCCAGCTCTCGGCACTGTTATCTCTCCCCAGGCGTCTCCATGCTCTTGCACTCATTGATAAAAATTTGATTCTGCCTCCATGGCCTTATAAGGCCTGGTTTCCCTCGCCAGAGTCCCTGGCAGGGCCCCTCACATTCCTTATAAGCTGCAGCTGTCTCTTGCTTTGGTGCTGTTTTGGAAGGGGGCAGGGAGGACATGGGGAATGGAAACATTTGGCTGGACGGACTGTTTCTGCTCCCTGCCTGGTGTCCCTGCAGGCGCCGGCCCTTGCCTTCCCGTGTTACTTGCGGCCTCTCACCCAGGGTGCTGCAGAGGGCCTTCCCGTGGGTGCAGAGTCAGGCAATGGCCCTTTTCTGCTGGAAAGGCCCTGTCTTGTCCCTGCATCCCACGGTGCTGTTCCTTGGAGCTCTTGCGAGAAAGCTGGCTCCCGTATCCCTGCTGCTTCCTTTGCAGGCTGGTGCTTGGAGATGGGAGGCAGGGGAGTCTAGTGCAAGGCTGGGACGACATGCTGAACTGGGGGTTGTGCCACAGCTTTCCGGGCCTGCGTGGCGTGCCGTTGGGTGCTGCGAGTTGCTGCAGCTCTGCTGTACCTGTGCTCATGGCATGGGTACTGGGCTTGCTGCAAAAGCATCCTTCCAGGTGAACTGGAAGGGACTCTAGGAGTCCTTCAGCCAACGGTACGTGAGCCACAGCAGCATCCTTGCCATACAGTAGCCATTAAACATTAAGCAGACAGAACCTGAAGAAGGGTGTTTGAGATCTCTGTGCTGTAATCCCAAAGGCAGCGAGTGCAGCCCTGAGACATGCCCAGCACGTTGTCTGGGGTTGCAGGGCTGTTCAGCTGCGTGTGTGTATCCTGTGGCAGCTCAACAGCTCTGGTCACAGTGCTGCTGGGTACCTGGCAGCCACGATTCCTCCATGCCCTCTTCCCCACGTGTGTGCAGTGCTGCACCAAGCAAAAGCTTATCACTGCTGAGCCCTGAGAAACACCAGCGGTCCCAGAGATCCCTGCAGGCAGGAGAGCTGCTGGCTGGAGAGCTCTGTGCTGGAGCCCAGGA